CAGGAATTATGTAACCATGGTTAATTTTTTTCCTTGCCCCTAATAAAATGAGGATCTTTGGCCTTAATATTAAATTTGTATGTATTTAGTTATGATGGTACTTATAGATGATCTCATTTCCAGTTCCAAACTTGCCTGTACTATTTATATGGTTTAAAATATTTGACAGTTATATTTCTGTTAATGTATCATTTTCATATTAAGAATCCACAAACAGCTGCTTGCTTATGCTGAATCAATTTAGAAGTTAATTTATCAATCTAGTCTCAACTGCAGTATATTTATAATAAAGAAACAGTAGATGATGACTTTGGGATGTTTTGAGGTTAATGTTACTGCTCACTTGAATGTCAATTTTAAATATTTCTTCTAATGCAACTAAAATTATGTATATATAACCAGTGTGACAATATTAAGAAATGCCTGGCTAAAGAGGATTTTTAAAAGATGAACAATTGTCTTGCTTACTTGATGTATATTTTCTAGGCTTATTGAGTTTGTGAGCAGCATAAAAACAATCATTCCTTAATTCTCCATTGCGGAACTGAAACATTTCTATAAAATGCATTTTTCAAATCTATGTTCAAACGGACTCTTAGAGCTATGATAGTTGATCAGGTGTAGTATTTCCACAGCGGGAATATGGGGCTTTTTAAAAATGAAACTATAGAAAAGTTTCAGCACTTTAATGTATTCTATAATGAGAGGGAAAATATCCTTGTTTCTACAAAGCTGAATTATGTAGCAATATTTGGTAGCATATGGCATGACAACTTTGTGTCATAAAATGTCTTAAATTGTAAAGCATACTTTGGTCATAGCAGACACTAAAAATTAAAACTCTTATCAGTGGAACAAAAATTAATGAGCAGCATCCTCTCTGTTTGGAATGGGACCAGTATACAGTTAATACAATTTAATTTTATACGTTTCCTAAGACTCCATTCTTAATTACATTCACTGAGTATATATAAATTTAAGTCAATACTTTTAGCCTAAGCAAAGTTTTTTCTTTCACTAAATACAGGGTTTCTTTTTTACCTTGATAATTTCATTATTATGTATGTAACATCAGATACCAACCTGTAAAGTACTAATGGGTTTTTAAAGACCTTATCAGGGAGTTGAAATTTCATACACTCTACCATATTATTTGTAAAAAATCTTTTTGAACAGCTGTAAAACATTTAAAAACTGGCAGATTCATTGTTAACATGCAACCATTTGATAGTGAAAGCAGCAGAAACCTTAACCTTACCTAATTCTTGCACTGCATTTAAATGATAATATAAAGTTAGATGTGCATTTTAAACAGATTTTATTCCCCATTTATTGCTTAGCATAGAGAAAAACTGTGCTTAGAGGATTGACCAGCAAGATTTATTTCAGATGGAAGAGAGTTAAGAAAGTAGAAGCACCTTACTGTTGGAGCATGTTGAGTTTATTTAGTGTTACTGAACAATTCAGTAGGTATTTCTGAACTTTGCTGCAAAGTGCTCTATAGTTAAAGCACTTAAAGAAGAATATCTGCTTAATTGCTTTGAAAATGAAGCAATTTTTTATCGTATATAGTCTAATTTAAAAGTTTTTCCTACGAAATGAGTTTATATTCTGCCTAAACTATCATGTATGTAAACAGAGGTTTTTTAAAGGTGAGAGGGACTCTGGATTGTGTGTGTCTGTGTGGGGGGGGGGGGTGAGAGAGAGAGAGAGAGAAATGTTTGCCTGTTGAGTTATTTCAAAGATGTGCTCTGAAATTTTCTGTTTTGCCCATAGTAAATGTACAGCTTGGTATTTGATTGAATTTCAAATTTATAAATGTTTCTCCTCCAAACACATTTATTATGACATTGTAAGGTGCATGTATAGAAAATACCTCTGAGATTGACACATTAAATATTTTATCATTGTTATTTCACACTGAATCTCAAAGCAATTTGTTTTGAGGGTTAAAGGAACGTTTTTTAAAGTCAGGTATAACTAAGAGCAGCTCAGTTTGGGGGGTTAAGGCAGGACCAGGTTAAATGATTTTTAGACGTGTACAGAAGGTATGGGTGTTTGGTTATAGAGTTCAGTTTCGACGCCGGAAGTTTTGGGTTTCTTTTAACTTGCATGTTTTATGGTTAACTATCAAAGAGTGTAACAAGTTATTCTAGCTTTTCCCAATACTAATTATATTGGTTTTAAGAAGTCTCCATAATCACAAGATGGCATTTTCCCTTCATTTGTGAACCAAAAGGAGTAGACAATACAACTCATGCAGTGATTTCTGACTTCTTCAACTTGGACAGCATCCGCACTGTCTCATTGAATTTTTCATTGTACTGTATGTCTTGCCAAGGCTGAAACCATAATATATAGTTAATGAAAAGTCGAAGGCTAACAGATCATTTTGCATGAGTAAAGCCCATCAGGGCTAATAAAACTGACATGTTTTTAGCCTTTCCGATTAAATGAAAATTTTAATGGCAAACCAATTCACCATTTACTAGCTTTGTGCAATATTATAATGGTAGAAGCAAAACACTAGCACACTGTGCTTGGCTTTTAAGGATTGCTTTAACACTGTTACATTACCTGGGCAATGTGCACAGTGTATTGTAAATGCCAACTCTTATAAATTTACAATACTTAAACATCCTCAATTAACATTCTAAAGTATTAAAAGTACAAAGAAAAAACTAAGCAAGCATTTATAGCAATACTCTGAAATTTCCAATAATTGTTTTGACTGTTGCCTTTTGCTCTTTAGTGCAACTTTTCTGCATCATAAGTGTTGTATTGCTTTGTATTTCATGTTTTTTACACTCATGACTTCAGAGTTAAGTACTTGTACACCAAGTATTGCAATCACCTTTCTCTTGTACATGCAATGTAACAACATACAGTTTTGGTGCTTAACAATATTCCTTTTTTTTCTTTAATAAAATATATTTATTGAGTTAGTCTCATTTTGTTTGTTTAACATTGGTGGTAGGTACTGTAACTCCATTTCAAATAAAAGGAACATGGCAAGTTGTGTACTTTTTATATAGAACAGGATTCAGAGGCTATGCACCCCTGTATTTTCTTGCTCTTCCCAACCACTATCTGTAATGAAATAATTTAATGGCAGCTTTATTTGTGGTGGTAACAGCCTTATTCATGTCACCTGTGTAACTGTCCCCATAGTTGAGGAATACTGACTTCCAAAATTAGAAGGTCTTTAAATGCTTTTCATTTTAACAGTCAATTTGTGATTTTAATAAGAGAAGATTATTTATACTTAAACATAGGACTAGCTTAACTAGTTACAGTGGATACCATTACCCAGTGCTTACTTGAAGCCCCCAACAGACAAGAGGCACACGTCTAAAGGCGGGCATCCTTTAAGGCAGCAATCCCCAACCATTTTGGCACCAGGGACCAGTATTCCTATGAGAATCTAATGCCTGATGATCCGAGGTGGAGCTGAGGCGGTGATGCTAGCACTGGGGAGCGGCTGCAAATACAGATGCAGCCCGGTTCCTAACAGGTCACAGACGGTACTGGTGCAGCCTGGGGGTTGGGGACCCCTGCTTTAAGGGACATAGGTTCCAGATGCTGCCAAGCCCCCCTTTTTTTCCCAAGACCTCATTTATAAAATGATGGGCTGAACAGGAAGAACTTTGGGACTTTTTTCTAGAGCCAGGATTTTAGTGAGAAGTTTCTCCAAGGAAGGGCCTTCCTTCCATGTATTTCTGCCACAAACATATCTGCAGGTAACCAAGGGCCCTTGATTACTACATGGTTTTTTCATGAAAGTGGACTTAATAGAAGAGCTTTAGCCCAAGTGTTAGAATGTTACCTTCTGCCTCTTGAAATAAACTTAGATTAATACAACTCTCAACATAGTATTTCAGAAGACTCCTAGTATCTAGTTCACCCTTGTGAAAATCATGGTGCAGTTGGCTTGGGATGGCCTTAGTGACTTCACTGTTGGATTAACCATCTTTACTAAAGTCAACCTCTCCTGAAAATCTAGGCCTGACTAGAAATTCCTTACTCCTTTGTGACTTTGTCATTCATCCTGACCCTGCTGAGTTCTTTGAAGCTGGTTGGAAACTTCATGAATTCTTTGCTACATACAGGAAGCTCTTTGGAAGAGGTTCAGAATTCTTTGGTGCAAAAATTCCTATATTCTATTACATTCTGACAGCTACTGATTGATAATGATGTTTAACTGCATTTCTCAAGCACTCTGTCCCCCTTCCCAGTTATACCCTTTCCACAGAGACCCCACAACTTTGTTGCATCAGAAACTTTGTTCTTCACTGTAAGATTTTTTCCAGATCTCTCCACTAATAATCTTGCTCATTCACAAGTGCTCTTGCTCACCAGTTGTATACTTTTATCTTTCTCTAAACCGGGCTGTCAACTGCTTAACTGCTAATAGACTGATGACCTTCCTACTGAGTTCATATGGGTCCACCCTGTAATCACGGCAGCCTCCTCTTCCTCCTCTCTCCCTCCTGCCTCCTTCATTTGCTCTTGGCTGTTGCTGTGACTGTCTCCATACACTCGGGCCAATGGGCATCTTTTCAATCTAAATTCCTCCCTGTTACTAATTCCAATGGCCAAACCTTACAGTTTATTCAGTAGACTCCAAGACTTCCTGCCTCTATGCTGACTAAGGAAAACATGTACCAATACTACAGGGCTTCCTGTGGGGAGACCTGAGTCTCCTGTCCAAGCCTTTACTCCTGGTATCTCCATTTTACATGCTCATCTCATGCCTTTCCACCAGCACACGTGTCTGTCAAAAATGCTTCTCTTATCTCAACGCCATCTAAAGTCCATCGATTCAGTGTTAATTTGGAAAGCACATGGGCAATATGTGTCTGACCCTCCCTGTGTGTCAGAATTTTTAATCTGAACATCGAAAGTAGGGGAATAAGATGTGGAAGGAAGAATTACAGAATCCG